GGAAAATGAAATCATAGAAGATAATGATACAAATCAAAGTGTTATTAGAGCCAGGTACTGGTTTGACCATGTAAGACAAGATTTATAGTTTTAGACTTTTGGCTATTAAATGTGAACCTCAAGAAAATCATTTTTGTATTCATTTAATGTGTTATAAATATGTTTTCTATCTCTGTTTGTAAATAAATGATCTAAAAAAAAAAGAAATTGCTTAGAATACTTCAAAAAGAGGTACAGAGAGAAAAGTGAAAGGAAGGTTAAGAAATGTGGAAGACAGAATGGAAAGTTCAACAGAGGTCTGGTAGGAATTCTAGAAGGAAAAAAAAAAAAAAAAGGAAAGAAAAGGAAGGAGAATCAGTATTCAGAGAAATAATGACCAAATTTTTTCAGACTTGATAAGAGCCACAAATGCTCATATTCGGTCCTGAGAAGGATAAATTCAGTCTGCCTCTAGGTACAACTGAGTAAAATTGAGAAACACCAAAACCAAAACAACAACAACAAAACCCACGAAAAACAAAAGAAAAAAACCTTAAAATTAACTGTAGGCAAAAGACAATTACAAGTTAGAGGGATAGGAGACTTTAGCAGACTTAACAGTAGAACCAGGAGACTATGGAATAATATCAAAGTGCTGAGGAAAAACAGCTTTTAACCAGGAGTTCCATATCAGTTAACCTATTTTTCAAGAGTGGTGGCAAAATGAACTTTCAAACAGAGACTTTGTTGAATACTAATGAATGTATCTTAGAAAGAAGGAAGTTGAACCAAGAAGAAAGGAGGATATAAAAAACAGTAATAGTTTTTATATAACCAAATGTATTTTTTATAACCAAAATAAATTGGGTGAGTGTGAATAAAGAAGTTTTGACTGTATAAAAAGAAGAAATATTAATGAGTTAATGAGTTTCACTTCAAATAGTTAGAAAACAGGGGCGCCTGGGTGGCTTAGTGGGTTAAGCCTCCGCCTTCGGCTCAGGTCATGATCTTAGGGTCCTAGGATGGAGTCCCGCATCAGTCTCTCTGCTTAATGGGGAGTCTGCTCCCCCCTCTCTCTGCCTGCTTGTATCTCTGTCTGTCAAATAAATAAATAAAATCTTTAATTAAAAAAAAAAAATAGAAAACAAAACAGAGTAATTTAAAAGGAATTAAAGGAAGAAATAATAAAAAGAAGAGGAGGGATGCCTGAGTGGCTCAGTCAGTTAAATGGTTAAATGGAAGACTCTTGATTTTGGGCTCAGGTCTTGATCCCAGGGTCTTGGGATCCAGCCTAATGTTTGGCTCCGTGCTGGGCAGTAAAACCTGCTTCAGAGTTTATTCTCCTTTTCCCTGTGCCCCTCCCCCCCAACTCATGCATGCACATGCTCTCTCCCCTCTCCGCCCAAAAAATTATTAATTAAGAAATAAAAACAAGAGCAGAATTTAGTGAAGTAGGAAATAAAGAAATCAACAAAGCCAAAAGTTGGTCCTTTGAAAACACTAATAAATGAGACAAGCTATTTAGGACTGATGAAAAAAGAAAGAAAAAGTACAATTACAGATATTTGGGATGAAAAAGAGGACACACTATGAAAATTTTTATGCCAGTATATTTGAAAGGGTAGATAAAATGAAAATTTTTCCTGGAAGGGCCAAGAGTATCAGAAACAATTTGGAAGAAAAAAGGAAAAGAAGAAGGGGAAAGCGAGGGAACAAAGGTATTCACTTTATCAGATTTTAAGATTACTATAAAATTATAGTAAAGCAGCACGGTGAAGGCACAAGGCTTGGCAAATCAATGAAACATAACATAATTCTTAAAAAGAGACACGAATATCTATGAAAACCATGTGTGGCTGAAATAACATAAGTTAGTGAGGGCAAGAGTTCATTAAATGGTGGTGGCAAAATTGGCTGCCCTTAAGAATAAAAGATGAAAGTAGATTTTCTCTGTCACGCACAGTATACCAAAAATAAATCCTGAATAGATTAAAGAACCACATGTGAAAGGCAAAGTTTAAGAACTTTTAGAATAAAATACAGGACAATATCTTTATGGATTGAGGGTAGGAAAGAATTTATAAACAAGAAAAGGGAAAGGCACCAATCTTAAAAGATGAATGTTTCACCTCAAAACATTAACCAGTAAAAGATTGGCATCCTACAAATCAATTAGAAAAACGGTAAAAAAAAAATAGACAAAAGATAAAGATAGGTAGTTTACAGAAGAAAGATGGAGAATGATTCTTGGGTTGGGGGGAGCTTTACAACATCTTCAAACAGAAAAATGAAAAACTGAAACCACATTGAGATAATACACTCATCTGTCTGGCATTACCAAGAGTTGGTAAGGACGTGAAGCAATGAGTTGAGGATGTACATTTTTACAACCACTTTGGCGAGTAATTTGGCAATAGCCAGGAGAATTGAAGGTAACTGATAGCTGTGAGTGTAATTCATGCATATATACATGTATAATATCTTATGTATTCCTTTAAGAAACCCTTACCATGTACACAAGACTCCTTTGTTTGTAATCGCAAAGAAAACAGTGATAACAATCAAAACATCCCTTAGCAGGAGATTAGATAAATAAATTTTGACATGTTTATGTGTTGAAATATTTTATAGACCTCACATGAATGGACTAGATTTATCTTTCTATTGAATGTTCCTTCATCGTGGTTTAATGTTTGTGGTAAATGTTAATATTATTCACCAAACATTCCCCTTTCTTCTGGGCATGCAGCAGGGTCCCACTCTCCCACCCCTTTTGAAGTTAGGCAAGGCCCTGGAACTTGCCTTGAGTCCCGGAATGTGAGAGAGGTGATGTGTGTTACTTTGGGGGCTGAGTCTTAAGAATCAGGACCCGGCTTTCTTTCTTCTCATTGCTGCTATAACTGAGGAAATTCATATGGATACAAAGCCTCTGTCACTTGGGCCCTTGTCTGATACAATGAGCAAAACCACTTTTCTAATCGTCACTGAACACATAGGGTACACAAAAAAATAAGTATATAAATAAATGTGCAAAGGGAAAAGGAAAGGGAGAATGGGGGCTGTTCCTGCAGCCTAAGCTCCTGTCTACAGTATTATTTTATGTCTCAGTTCAATTTACCGTACACCTTGCACCACTTCCTTAAGTTCCACCTTCCAAATCACCCAATACTTCCCCTTTTCCATGAGATAGAAGTATCATGACTTAGCCTCCAAATATAGTCCTTCCTTGTCTTTCCGAGTCCCGGGGAACTTCTTTTTGAGCCCCTTCCTTCTCTGCCAGGAAACTGTCCTTTGAGGCTATTTCACCAATGTGTTTGCTTGTTGTTTGGAGTTAAGCTTGACAGTCAAGGGATTCATTACCAGAAATGCATCTTCTCTTCCTTCCTCCTTCCCCTTCTCCCTTTTTTATCTATGGATGACTTCCTCATCCACAGAGAGCAAAGCAGTGAAGCTGTAGAAGATGAGGGCTCAAGTCAGGCATGCCCAGCTTTGGAAAGTAAATACATCGTGGTTTAGAAGATACATGTAAGATTACATACTCCACGTCATTATCAAGGTGGAAATGTTTTGGCATGACGGTAGTACTGCTCACCCTCTCTCTCTTCAGAGAGTATATAATATTACCCTGAAAACTACAGTATATATCTAATGAGAAATTGTCTTTTTTTTTCCAACCTATTTTAAAATTATTTAAAGTAAGTTGCAAATCTTGAAGGCAAGTAGCTAGGCCTAAGTGTAGATTTGGGTTGAATAATAAATTAAATTAAAACCCCAACACTAGAAAATGCACAGAAAAGGTCCCAGGGGACCTAAAAGGCCCTTACCTTTTATTGCTCTCTTCTCCATGGTTAGAGAGTCTATATCATTTTTAGATAGCTATCATTTTGTGGAAGCCCTTGGCTTTTATAAATGAACAGGTTGATGCGGATTTGAAGGAGACAGAGAGACTCAAAATCAAAACAGAGCTGGTGTTTCAGAATATAGCAGTTCATGAACAAAGAGAAGAACATTAGGTGTTGAAATGCCCAGAATAGTAAACAAACAAACAGAAAAGGTAAACAAGTCATGGCTGAGGGCAACAGTGTATTCTGAAAAGGTATTGGTACCATTTCCTAGATCATCTTCCTGCTTTATGAATTCTAAAACACTGAATCTATGTGTATATCATATTTCTCTAAACAAATTGATATTTACTGAATGTAACAAGTATATACAGTTTAGAGACTAGTAATAAAACAAGTGTCTATATACCCACCACCTGGCTTAGATATAGAACAAAGCCAGTACTTCTGAAGCTCCGCTAAGATTTCATCTTGGAAATGAAATCAATTAATATTTGGACCTATTGGTGGGAGTCCCTGCAAGATTTCATTCGCCTCTTCCCAGACACATTATCCAGTATTTAATATAATAATTCCCTATATTTCCTTTTTAGTTTTATATTTATGTATGTATCCCTAAATGAAGCATGTTTCTAGTTTTGTCTTTTTAAAAACTTTGTATAAATGCATTCATAATCTGTGTTTTTCTGTGCCTTGCTTTTTTCACTCAACATTATATGTTTTTCTTGTTCTTTTGGTTTTGGGTGTGTTAGAAGTCAAGGCTTTCTTTCTTTTTCTTTTTCTTTTTTTTTTTTAGGAAAAGAACATTATGGTTTTCAACTTATCTATCTGTACATAACCATAGTTCACTAAGGTCAATTAATGTGTAGTTTCCCATTGTAGTCATATTTTGAAATATATTTATCCATTCTGTGTTTTATGGGGTATCATGGTTCCTCATAGTAAAATGCTTCAGGGTTAATTACTACATGTGGTTTTCTTTGTTCCAATCTTAGATTCAACTTTTTTTCTTTGAGGCAATTTGGCATGGAAAATGTGCTCATGTCTTGCGATAACCAAGGAGTTCTAATTTCCCCTTTATCATTGATGTGAGATAGTAATTCATTTTGTTCACAGCAGCCTACCAGGATATGTTTAGCTTCTCTTATCCTGACGCTGAATCTTCTGTTGGGCTCACAGTTCCCATGGAGAACGTTGCAACAATTGCGGATTGCGCCAGTGTGATTGAAGGAGTCAGTCGGAGCCGAAATGCCTTGCTGAATGGCGACACCAAGAATTACGACTGGGATTCCGGCTATACGTGTCACCAGCTAGGAAGTGGTGCGATTGTGGTTCAGCTGGCACAGCCGTACATGATCGGGTCAATACGGTAAGAAAGGTCCTTTTCGTTCATTACTTTTAAAAAGGAAGACACGTGTGCAGATTCTTTTTCGGAACAATGATGATCCTAATAACTTCAGTGAAGATACATTCCTGTTGTTTGCTCTAAATATTGAAGCGGGGTAACATGGAGAAACAGGGGGCTTGTTTGGAGCTCCAGTTGGGGAATACACCAAAATTAGGCTTGCGGTGAGAGTAGATTAGAGGCCTCTCCTGGGTATGGCCCACCTCCTTCTTAAGTCTCAGTTTGTGTTGGTTAAGGACTTAGAGGATAATGTCAGGAGAGGTTATATAGATTCAAAACTAATTTTCAACACCAATAAATTTACATCTGAACCAAACATGTGACTATGAGGCCTGGTACTAAAAAAAAAAAAAAAAAAAAAAAGAATCTTCTTAATGAAAATCTGGGTTGGGATGGTTGTTTTCATTTTGTTTTATTTTGTTTTCAGAAAGGAACTTTAACCCAACTTTGCTTGATTTATAGGATCATATAATTTTAAAATGTGATACTGGTGACACCCCCCAGAGGAGATACTTTTAGTTCAAGAGAGCCATGTGGAATGTATTGAATAGGCTGCCCTTTTCTTGCTTTTTTTCTGAACGTTCCAAGGAGGTCTCTGAAAGACTAATGTCTATACATTTATGTTTAACAGTAGGTAAGGGGTTTTACATGATATCTGAGCCTGCCAGGGATGGAGGTCTCGGTGGGGTGTGACTGCCTACCCCCCACCATCAGGTTTTACCACATTTGCTCTGTTATTTCCTGTTCTTATGTTCAAGTCTTTGTGTATAAAGAGAGAAAAAGCACAAAAAGTAAGGTAGTAGGATTTTAACTGGCAAACATGTATTGATGTTTAGGCTAATGACCACAGAGGTTTTTGCGACCTGCTGGTCCCCGGGACCACCCTGATGAATGATGTTGGATTTGTGGGAGAATTCACTGTGGATTTCTTCATTTAAATTGTCAATTCCTTTTCATAAAGGGCCACATACAGGTTGAGTAACGTAGGCAACCTACCACACACATAGAGAAGCCTTGGCCTCATGCTGTGGACCAGACAAACCCTCTTGGTGCTTAAGAAAGGGGAAGGAGAAGCCACAGTCAGTCTGGACAAGCTACCAGTGCAAATAAACCTCCATCAGATGGCAAACAAGACTCCATCCTTCCTTTTATCTCAGCTGCATGCGTTAACTAAGGCAGTCGTAGGCTATCTATTTAGTAAGCTGTTCTAGAATTTTTGGCATTGATGGTAGGAAACTTACCTAATATTTCCCATTATAGTCTATCCCTCTTCACTGTAAAAATCTGGGGAACCATTGTCCTTCTCCTGTCACTGGCACTCCTTACAGTCTTTACAGTTTCTTTAAGATTACCAGTCGTGTCTCTGAGATTACATCTGCAATTTCTTTCAGCGGCCATGGGGTGTAACTCACCAGAGCCAGGAGTCTTGGAATCATTTAAATTGACTGGATACTCTCTTTCTTTCACTTCATCTATTTGGGGCTTCAGTTCTCTCTTTATTATGTTTGTTCTGCCATTTCTAATTTGAAGACCAGTCTTCTCATCAATGAAGACAGAAACAAACCAGCAGCTTAGTAGCTCTTCCCACTCTCTTCCAATGTTGCCTGTATTCTGTCTGCTTACCTTGTACTCCAGCCCCACTCCCAGCAATGTTACATGTGCATCTCACACCAATGTGTTGGACATGAAATCCCATTATCCCCCCTTCGTCTGCTCAAGTAACATTAAGATTTCCCCCCTCTCATTCAGTGGCACCACCCATCTGTCTGTAGACTGAGCCAAAAACATGGCAGTCTTCCTGAATTTACTCCTCTCTCTCACCTCCCCTCCTCAGCCAGTTGTCAGTACTGGCTCCTGAATATCTCACAAAGTCTTCCACTCTTCCCATCTCCAGTACCGTTACCACAGTTGTACCTTTGTGGTTTTTCTTCTCCCCCTGGTCTGCCGGACTTCCATCTGGCCCTTCCTTCCCCACTTGCAACCATCTCCCCGCCCCAGATCTGACGTGGTTATGCCCCTTCAGGAGGAACTTCAGACAAAGGCATTTAAGAACAATCTGATGTGCTTCTGTTGACACAGCCTTGTCTCCTGCTTCTCCATCCACCCCCCATACGTGCCAGTCTCATCCTGTCCAATTACTCGCAGTTTTGCACATGCCATCCCTCTCTCACCTTTGTGCCTTCAACTCTCGGAACATACTGTTCTCGTGGCTGGTGTCTCTCACAAACTCCCCATCACCTCTCTTTTACCTGCTCTTCCTCCCCCTTCAAGACTTCGTTCTTCCAGGAATGCTTCCCTAACCTCCCATCATTTCCTGGGCTGATTCAGACCTCCCTCTTCAGCGATCCCCATACATTCTGTATGTACGTTCTACTGGAGCATTTGTCATATTTGGATTATAATCATTTACGTGCTGTCTCTTCCCAGCCCCCCTGACATATAAAGCCTGTGGCAACTCAGAATAAGCATCCCTTGACAGATCAAATGTGTAGATGAGGTAGTCTGTCAAGGATAGAGGGGAAATTATAGCAGGTATAGTAGGAGATCTAGAATTTTAGATTCAGCAGGAACACATGAGGTCTCCGCCAGGGTGACAGCTCCAAGTGGGACAAACAGGCTGTTTGTGTGGCAAGGCCACCTTGACCTCTAGCTCTACCCAAACAATCAGAGATGATGGATCTAGCTCCAGGTGTCACTGAGGCTTAAAGCAAGAGAGAACGGCGCCCATGTGGCTTTCTTTAATTATGAATGAAAATGGTTCCCCCAAACTATTTTTTCTTTCCGGGACTTGGAGTGGCAGTAATGAGCATGAGCACAACCAAAGGCAGAATTGTATATCTCAGCCACCAGACTTCCTTAAGCCCAGCTATTGTTCTTGCAGTGAGAAAATCCATGCAATTGAAGTCCTGTGTAACTGGCTGAGCACTGAAAGAGACACGTCTCTGTGAAACTAACATTATGTTGTCAGGATCTGCATTTGCCTCTTCTGTGACATTATTAAGAAGAAAGAGAGAGGGATTTCTTAACCATTGGTGCCTGTGGACAATGCTGGATACCCTGGCAGGCCATGGTTAGCAGCTGCTGATGTGCCCAGACAGACGTTTATTGATAGGAAACTAGATCAGTGGCACCTCTTCATGGGGATGGGTAATTGACCAATGACAGGATGATTAGTTGGTGACATTTGACCCTCAGCTTCTATTGCTTGTGATGACTGACTTGCTTTCCTAGTCACTATATCTGAAAAAGCTCAATGATTTTAAATTGACACCCAGAGGGAGAATGCTACAGAGCTGAATGACTAACACTTTCCCCATCTAAGAAGCAGGAGATCTGGCAATCCTGGAAACTCTTCCTCTGGGAAAACCCAATCACATGGTACACTGGCTTTAAAAATTCAGATTTTTTTGTAGATGGTGACTACGAAGGCAAAGGACTCAGGCGGGAATTGTCTTGATCACGGCAGTCTAATTTCTTAAGGGAGGATATAATTGTTTTGTGCGTAAAGATATCTTTTGTGCGTCTGTTTTCATTCAAAGAAATAATTTCTTCTTTTCCTGAGCCTTTACCTGTAGCCGGGTAGGCAAGCAGAAACTTCTTCCTTGATAGACGATGCTTGTGCCTAACCACAGGCCACGGGTGTCCAGTACCCGTCCCCCTGTGGTGTCCTGGAGGGGCTGACCTTGAAACATTACCCCTGACCATCCCTCCTCCCCCCTCATTTGCTTTCATTCAATTAGTAAACATTTCTTGAGCCTTCTACTGTGCCAGGCACTGTTCTAAGCACTAGGGATAGAGCACTGAATAAAGCAAACATTGGTGCTGTCCCAGAGCTGACGTTCTTGCCAGGGGGAGATAAACAGTAAACAACACTGTTTGTAACATGTCAGATTCTTCAAAGGGCTGTGGTACCAACCAGGAGGGGGACTAGGGCATAGAGACAGTGCAGTTTTAGAGGCAGTGGTCAGGGAAGGCCAGTGCAGAGCCTGAAGGAAGGGAAGAGCAAACCATCTGGGGACTTGGGGATAAGCATCAGAGGCAGAGTACTGAGGCCTCAAGGGCGAGCATGTCTGGCAGGTGGCAGGAGCAGCGAGAGGCCACTGTGGCTAGAGCTGGGTGAGGGGCAGAGAGCAAGAAGCAAGGCGAGGGAGGTGACTTGGAGACAGCCCTGAGATTTGTTGCTGTTTCTGTATTCAGTCACCAACTTCCAGAATCATCCCGCCCACCACCACACATCCATTCTGGTGTTTCATTAGCACCACGAGAGGACAGTTTTCTTGGCTAAGGAGAAGAGGGGCAGGGCAGGGGAGGCCGCCACACCTTCAGAAACGCCTTCGTTGCTCCTGACCTGCCTTTATCCCACCAGCTCCTGAAAGAGAAACTGCAGAGGCGTCCAGTCCTTGCAGCTTATAGGAAACTTGCTCCCCAGTTCTTTCTTTTCTTTCTCTCTCCCAAGAGCTAGAGTAGGCCGTGTGACTGGGAAATAAAGAAGAGTGGCTTTGTTGTTGCTAGGTGTACAGGGACAGCCAAAGTTACTCACTGTATATGAGAAAAAAAGAGAGACAGAGTCTGGAATATACCTTACAAGTGGGTAACTAAGTTGTAATTGTATCACTTTTGTGCCACTTTTTTTTTTTTTTTTTTAATTTGGAAGGTTCAGCTCACTTTAAAGATTATATTTATTTATTTGACAGACGGAGATCACAAGCAGGCAGAGAGGCAGGCAAAGAGCGGGGAGTGGGTGGGAGGCGGAAGCATGCTCCCTGCTGAGCAGGGAGCCCGATGTGGGGCTCGATCCCAGGCCCTGGGATCATGACCTGAGCTGAAGGCAGAGGCTTTAACCCACTGAGCCACCCAGGTGCCCCTTTGTGCCACTTAAAAACATTAAGATTTAAATAACAAGAAATCTTCAGAGGCCTGACCACATAAAAAGACCAGGGTAAAGTCATAATAACTAACCAATC